TGCGTGGCCACAGAGAACAACAAGTACCCGTCGCTCACGCATGCCATATCCCTCGCAGAGGAGCTCGATATTCCGGCAACCCCCGAGCGCATTCGGACGTTAGAGAACCTCGTGCGGCAGCTGCCCACTTCAACAGGTTCCTCGACGACCTCCTCCGAAACATTGCGCGAGACGGAAACCGTCTCCTCGGACGTCCCCAGCGCGTCCATCAGCCTGTCCAGCCCAGACACCAGCCGCGAACCATCTCCAATCAGGAGTGGAACCGCCGTGTTAAGGCTTGGACGTACGAAGGCACCAAGTCCTCTGACAACGGATGGGGAAGACCCCCTGTTCTCGGACGAGGAAGAGCCGGTGCCGCCGCCCAAGCGCAAGCGCACACTCAAGGAGCGGCTCGCTCCAACACTCAGGGAGCGTCTGGACGATCCCATGGACGAGGCGGACGACGCCGTGTCACTCGGCCTAACTGATGCTGAGGAAGAGATCGACAATTTCTTCGAAAGGACCTGGTATGTTTGCCATCCTTTGACCTCTAACGAGTCGTATGCTGACTGCTTGCACTCTGCAGTGACTAGTGTCGCAAGTTCTTCTCGTAGAATAGAGGGTCTGCGCGACGATGTACCTGTAGCTACACCCTTACGATTAGCTACAGAAGATGATATATGTCTTCACCACTCTTCATACACTGAGTGTGCGCGCTGTAAAGGAAAAGGCAGAACATTGACTGAGTACAGTGATCCCAACCTAGTATGGATGATCGACTCAGGTGCTTCAATGCACTTTACATTCTGTCTCGACGACTATGTCGACTTCCGTTACTATGGTACGCCTCAACCGTTACATACGGCAGATGGTGTTACTACTATGATTGGCGAAGGAACAGTCATCGTACCAACTGAGCTTGGAACTACCTTAAAGCTGACGAACGTCGCTATGGTACCCAACCTCACGTATAAGCTTATATCCTTAGGAGCGTTGCTCAAGGATGGATTGGAAGCACGTGCAAGCACTGCTGAGATCTCTTTCTATCGGAATGATAGGCTTATAGTCGTGTTTAAACCGCGCTTTGAGAATGACACTATATATGTCACTCATACGCAGCCTAGATCGGCGCGATATGCTGTCGCAGCTAGTAATGCTGTTGACTATGAAACTCTTCACCGTCGTTTCGCGCACCCTTCGCGCGATGTGCTGAAACATGCACGAAAACACACGGAAAAGTGCCCGCTTGTTGAGTTCCCTCTTCATGACTCAATCTGTCGAGG